AAAATTAGGTTTCACCAAATTATATTATTTATTTTTTGATTAAGTAAGATTTATAAGAAAAATATTGAACAGTAGCCTAATCAATTCACTTAAGTTAAACACAAAACTATTTAGCCTGTATTAGATGTACCTTATACATACGGTATATGTTTTACCACTTAAGTACTTATATAGGTAGGCCTACATATCAAATGAAAGTAAGTAAAAATAAACCTCATAATACTTGTAACATACAGGGTGTATATAAAGTCCCGCACGGGCTTAATATTTTCTAAACGACAACAGATACATCAATAAGATTTGGTACATCAACACCACACCTAAAAATCTACTTTTTCAAGGAACTATGAATTTTCTCTCATATCAAGGGGACGTCCCGCAAGGAGTCAGAAGGAAATCTTAAATAGAAGCATAGGTTGACATGTACATCAAATTAAAGGTCTTTTTTAGTAGAATACAATGCCGCAAATTTGAACTCAAACGGACAACCGAGCCAAGAATGACAGTTGTTCAAAGATTCATTTAATTTGCATTGCTATATACACTTACTCCTCAGGGGGCACAGCCCTAGGAATCGGAAGAAAATTGTTAACGTAAGCATAGGTCGATATGCACATCAAATTAAAGGTCTTCACTAGTAGATTACAATGCCGTAAATTCAAGCTCAAAAGAACGCCTGAGTAAAAAATGGCAGTCGTTCAAAGATTCAAAATGGCACATTCAAGAAATCTTTGAACGGCTGACATTTTGCGCAGGATCAACCTTTTGAAGTGTGATTTGCGGAATTGTACTCTACTAAAAAAGACCTTTCATTTGACGAGCAAATCAATTAAACTATATATATATTATTAAAATATAAATGTAAAAATGATACCAGTGTTTAGTTTAATCTTTAACTAGTTATTAATACGGATGTTAGAGAAAATTAAGAGTTTTATTTTTGTTGTTTACATCATACGATGTTGATTGAGTTTGAAAAATATGAAAACCTTTTACCTAAAACAGTGAAAGCTGTTTATTTTAAACACACACATTCAAATTATTTCAATTCACTTTAAATTCACTAACAATTATTTTCAAATTCACTTTAACAATCACAATCTTTAATTGCAAATATACTATCTTTGACTATTACTGCCTACAACTAGACATTCCATCCCCATGTTAAATTTGTAGCCAGTTTTTTAACCAAAAATTGTTGTAGTTGATGTGAGCCACCGACAGATTGTGCTCATCTAAATGACTGATTTAACTGTCGAATACACAATCTTTTTTACCAATTCAAACTAATGGTATGACTTATTGTGAGCTATAGCAACTGTTATGACCCATCAACTTGGCCAGCAACAAAACAATAGGCTACGGTAGAAAATAGAGTTTTAGTCACTTGCACATTCTGTGACTGGCTCACACAACTACGTTCTTTTTTAACAAAAAGTTGGCTACAGCTGGTCCATATAGATGGGACGTCTACTTCAGTATCTAATAGTCAATGGTTTAATGTAGGCCTAGTAATAAATCAATAAATACAGTACCGGTATGGGTTTTAATATTAGTTCTTTAAAGTAAAATTTAACATGCTCAGTTTCTCAGTGAGCTTTTAAATTAATTTGAAACTAACCATTTTTAAATCTTATAGCCTTGTTATGTTGGGGTCCCAAAAGAACGTGCTGTTTTGTTATCTGTGATATCTCGTGATCTTGGAAAGGTAAATCTGAACTTTCTGGACTTCCTAAACCACTCACGGTTCCAATAAACAATAAAATACCTTTAAAACATTTTTTTGAGGCACAGAAAACACTGTAAATTGTGAAAATATACAGAACTAATTTTCAAGGCACGGAGCAAATCGCACGCAAAGGAACAAGGAGTGGAGTGATACAGACCAGTGACTACTTACTCATACTTTGAGTGTAACCAGCTGATCATCCTATTTTGATTTAAAAAAATGAAACTGTTCTAAACTAACAAAACCTAACCAAACTTGCTTATGGTTTCATTAATCAGTTTCTTAAGAGAAAAGGCATATGGGGAAGGTCGAACTTTATGAGGATTTGTGACTACATTAAGTCCTTTGAATGAAGGTAGTTTAGATTAAGTAAGTTAAAGTGTAGGTTATAGGCGATCGGGTTGTTTATTGATGTTACACCCATGGTGTTTTTTATCTTTTGGTTCTAGTTGATTAAACGACTGCATTCCCCACATGCCTAAATAAGATCATTCATTGTTTCAGTTTCATTTCAATCACAGTAGATTCGTAGCACTTCAGTTCTTGTTACTAGATGTGCAATGTGCTCCGCGCCTTAATTTAGAAAGTAGTTCCGTATATTTCTGCAATTTTTGGTGGTTTCCGCATCTTAAAAAAGTGTTTTAAAGGTATTTTATCGTTAATTGGGATCGTAGGAATGGTTTAGGAAGGTTTAGAAGAAAATTCAAGAAAGTTCAGAAATACCCTTGGAAATATTAGTGATCATCTCTAGCGCTTACAAAAAAATCTGTGATGATTCTCTGCGATCATGAACAAATCCATTAGGCCTATGCTAAATGGTTTAGGTTTACCTTGCTTCGTTGAGTGATCTTTTTTTTAATGTACACTACAATAGTATAGTTTTCTATGTCCTACACTATCAACTTCAGATCTAGCCAAATTGGATACATGACCTTCAATGTGTTTGTCACACCTGTTAATGGGCTCCTTCAGAAGTCCAAGACACTTGGTATCGTTAATGTACAACAAAAAAAGGATTACTCGACAAAGCAAGGTAGGTAACCTAAACCATTTAGCTTAAATTTAGTGATCCAGAGGCTACTTACAAAGCTTTATAATCAATCCTAAATAGCCAAGGTCTGTTGGGTAAAAATTAAAATGTGTTTTGTAAACTTAAGGCCTGCAGTGAGAGGACATGAAACAAAATAAAGAGAATCTCCAGCTTGGTGTAACAAATTTTTATTAAGTTAGGCTAGGTTGTATTGCTGTACATTTACTTATGGGCCCCTATTAAGCAGTACACATTTTAACTTACAGCACACAAAAAAAAAATACTTCAGTATGATAAATATTTTTGGGCATCACTCACCTTATTGAAATCAGGAGAACACAGTCCTTGTCATATCACAATTCATTGCACATAGGGGACAAATTGATAAAAATAAAAAAATAAAAATAAAACTAAATATAAAATCAAAGACTAAAGTTCTCAACTCCGACGTTTCGCCGTACCATTAAAAACGTGCGGCGTTTTTAAGGTTATTCTTTCTTCTCACCTAAACGTTGTGAGCGCCTAACCATGACTGACGACCCCAGTCGGGGAGGGGAGGATCTGTTATCTCGATCAGCTGATGGCATTAACTTCTTTTGTTTTGATTTGTCAATGCATCCATTAATTTCTTTCTCTATTAACGTATTGTAGACCTTTTTGAGAGCTTAAAAAACTAATAATTTAGTATATAAAAGTATTTTGTTCGGTTATTGGTAACGGAGGAAATTAAAAAAGTTGTAAATATAAAAAAATTCCCATGTTATTCTTATGGAGAATATTGTAAAATGTAGTTTGCTTGTTTATGGATATATTTTGATCAAACTTGGCAAATTAATTTATTTGATACTAAGCAATCAATATTTTACTAAAAACACACTTTATTAGTTTCCTTGTAGCAGCAAACCTAGGTACTTATTAAACCTAATGTTATTTAAATATTTAATTGAAAGTCAATTCAGGCAAATGGAAATTCGCGTAGTCAGCAGGTTTTAGGCTGGGGTATTTGTATTTTTATCAATGTGTATGTGTAATGAACTGTGATATGACAAGGACTGTGTTCTCCTGATTTCAATAGGGTGAGTGATGCCCAAAAATATTTATCATACTGAAGTATTGACTCACCTAAATTACCATGACGTTTAGAAATACAAAAAACATAGGTAGAATGTAAAAAAAAGTTAAAGGTTCACTTTAAAATAAATAACTAAATAAAACTTTATGTAGGCTTAGCCCATAGTGAAACATGTAGGCCTAGCCTGCAGATCAAAAGAATAAATAAGTTAACGAGCATGAGAAATTTTAAGGACCCAAACGAGATTTTAGGAGAGCATACAACAACCAACAATGTAGGCTAGGCTAATATTGTTCTTTAATTCATCTATATTTCAACAACAGTTGAAATAAGTTAACCTCAATATTAAGTAAATGAAGGATATATGTCCCAGTACCCGATAAGAATTTAAGAAACGCAGAGGATACGCGTCCGGTAACCGGACGTGGATTAGGCGTCTGGCAGTTACTGTCATAACCTAACCTAACCAACCAAACTTGCTGATAGTGAAAAAAATCAAATGAAGGTTCAGTTCTCATCATAAAATAAAATTATAAATGCCAAAAATTCTAACAAAAGATGTACAGTTAAGAAGAAATTACATTCAAAGAAAAATCTGTGACAAAAAGTTAAAGTTACCGATAGGTTTCGAACCGGGGACCTCTCGCATATCAGTCGAGCACTCTATCCAAACACCACGAACACTGATGGCTGTACATCGTATCATTGTGGTAATGGCGTTCCGGGACCCCCTACCGGACGCCTAATCCACGTCTGGTTACCGGACGCCTAATCCACGTCCGGTTACCGGACGCGTATCCTCTGTGTTTAAGAAATCTATTTAGGACGATTTCATCAAATAGGCTAACATGTAAAAACTGGAAATATTTTTAACACCAGCCTATAAAACTTAAGTCAATAATTCCACTAAATCTAAAACAGCACTGCACAGCAATTACAACAGTAGATTTAGGCCTATGTCCTTCCCTAATAAAGCAAATCTTAGAGAGCCACAGGACTTAAGTACGGTACGGTAAGTTAGCCAATGAAAATAAAACCTACGTTGCTATTTATCATAGCCTATGCTTAGGTTTTGTATGGTAGGCTAGGCATAATTATTATCAAGATGTTTCACATCATGTTAAAAATGTATAGGAAATAAATATATATAGGAAACAAAATAGACTTACCTAAGGCCTAATAAGGCCAGGACTGTGAGGGTGGACCCATTGAATTAAACATTCAAGTGTTTATGTAAAACATTTGAACTACTCAAAGTATGTGAAAGTTTCCTCTGTTCAATGCACATTAAATAAAACTAAAAAAGCACCTTTTAAAGTCTTAACTTTAGGTAAGTCCTTGATAGTAACATTCTCACTAACAAAAACAAAACATTCCGTATTACCACACTTAAAACTTTAACGAAGTAAAATCGGACCGGTTTGCAACTGTACGTGCTGATTGTAATTATGATTTTGTCATTATCTAAAAACTCACTAGTTTTGTTTTTCACACATTACAGATGAATGTTTCCAACAAGATATTCCTGAAAACAACTAAGAAACCTTTGTTCTTCCGATCACATCCCGAGATTTTGGATACTGATTCACAAAACAAATTGTTAATTTTTATTCAACCCATTGATGTATTATGTTCAAGTTCCGGCTAGTTTCATTTATCACTGCTAATAAATAAAATACACTTAACTATGGAAAATATATATTTTCAGTGTATTTTAGAATTCTCATTTGACACCGCAACCATCTTAGATCACACACCGTTCCCTTACGATATAGTGTGCAGTGGTGCAGTAACGAGTTGACTGACGACTTGATACTTGCTAGAACTAGAAGGCTACCAAAAGCCAAAGGCGTAAAAATTGTTTCAACATATCATATAAAATGTAATAAAAGTATAAATGAAATTAATAATATAGCTTTATAATGCAGGCAATATTTGTATTGTTTTTCCCACTCTTCCGAAGGTACTGTTAGTTTACAATGAGATAAAGTCTTCAGCCACACTTCGTTGTCCAAACTTTCTTCGTTACATTTCTACTCATCGTTCCAAGTGATGGGCCTACTTTCCTGGACTTATACGCAGGGGCGGACTGGCCCGCCGGCCCACCGGCCGGTGGGCCGATACGCCTTCTCAACATTCCAATATTTGCGCCCTCGTTAAAGGAAAAATTCATAAAAAATTTTAAAAAATGAGACGAGATGTGTTTTTAGAAAGCAAGAGGAAACACCTAGAGTAAAAGTTACAGCAGTGAATAGCAAAACATAAAGTCGGGTGTGAGACCTGAATAGACACTGTCGACAAGCGAGAGCAAAGCAGCTCTTCTCTCTCGTACGTGTAGGCCTACTCCGAGTGGAAGGCACTTTACTCTGTGGTCTGAGGTACTTAAAAACAGCTGTCCTCTTCCCGCGTCATTTTACGCCGAACCCGAAAAAACTGCTCTGCGACTGCATCTGACATAGGTCGGTGTCACGATGTCGTCTGTGGTAAACAACTAGTGAAGATAATTTAATATTATTCATATTTGTTATAATATTTAATTATTGCTCACACTATAACTATTTCACTTTGAGTCACATTTAATTTTTATCAATCTTAACTCAACTCTCTTGTAAAATGGCGTTTGCCGTGCATGTAATAAATAAATAAAGAGTGTGAGCTGCCAATTAAAATGTGTCTCTCTTTAGTGAGTGTCTGATTTGTGTCTCTGTGTCGAAAGCTTCAATTTATTTTTATATTATTTACCTACACAGGAAACATGAACGAAAGCAGGATTGTAGAATCACTACTTTTACAAAATTTAAATTAGATTTAGTGACAGTGTATTTGTTAACTTAACCATTACACAGTAAAGGTTAAACAGTAAACATTATTTTAATACCGTATGTGGCTACCGCCTATTAATTAATTATTTCAATATGCACTTTGGCACTAATTTGGTCAACTTTCCTATTTTACTTACAGATAGCCAGCTCAAAATACCTTCGTAGTTCTCTCTAGGCTATTTCGTTTGTAGAAATAGGTTAGGTAGGCCTACTTTAGGGTTACAGTTTTGACTTAATGTAATGCTAAAAAAGTTTAAGTCAATAAATTGGTTTTGTTCACAGTGAAAGCATATTGTTTGTGTTAAAATAATTTCATAGAAATCTAAAATATATAACTTCTGTTATTTACAGTGCCAAAAAATACAACAGTTGCAAGTTCAGGTTGTAAACAGGAAGCAAATGATTTATATTGTATGCATGCAGCCAAGTCATGCAAGGGAAAATAAAGAAAATACACAAATATAATACGAAAGAACCTAAGAAAATCATTTGTATTTTTATTTTTGTTAGGATATTTACTGTCAGAATAGCACCAAGTCGTGTGGGTAAATAGTCTAAATTTTGTAAACCAAAACATTGACCAATAGTGTCAGTTATCAGATTTCTGATTTTCCACTGTTAATGCCTCTAGATTGCCTAAAAATGCGAGTTTACAGGTATAATTTTTTAACAATTTTCCGGGGGAGGACCCCCGGACCCCCCTCTGTACAGGGGGGTATTCCATACCCCCCAGACCCCCCGGTTGGCGCCTTCGGGCTGGTCAAGGTTTACGCCCTAATAGAGTACCCAGTCCGCCCCTGCTTATACGCAACATATCCAACTAGCTTCTTCCTCGGCCTTCAGCTCCTTGGTGACAACTTCGTATCTGGGTCGATTTGCTCACTCACATCATAATCAGGCAACAGATCAGCTTCATCCTCGTTTGTATTTTCTGGAGAGGTTGATATTTATATCAATTCATCATAAGAGAAAGCCGACTGGATGAGTTCCACTGCCAAATACACATCCAAGGTCCAAGCTGGTTTCGCCCTCCACTTCAATATTTGTTTTGGGTGAAGGTTTTGGCATTTTGTTTGAAAGCATGATCTTTTTATTCGTGGGATGAGTTCTGTTGCTGTTGGGGGGTCTGAATTTGGCCAAATAAACTTTCAAGCAGGTCTTGTGTTAACCTGCTTGGCATTATGTACTTAAATCCTGCTTTCTGCAAACCCCCAAAAGCCCAGTTAATGATATTATGGACATAATGATCCTTTTTTGAAAGGATAGCAATTTTTTCATCCCTTCCACTCTTAACCCGTACATTTCTACTCTTACATAATGTAATATCTTTTCTCTGTTCCATAGTATTGGTCAAGACCAAAGGAAGCTCTCATTGCTTGAGAATCTGGCGGGTATGGTGATTCACTATTCATTACGTCTGTAAAGTCGTCAATCGTCTCAAAAAAGGCTGCAGCCCTTTTATTTCCTGTAAGCATTTCAATGGCCTTCGATGTAGTTCTAGAAAATATTACGACCTTAGCAGGAGCAACGCGTTGTTGTCTCTCCATTTCCTTTTAGGGTTGAAAAAGAAGGGGCGAGTTTATAACAAAGCTTAATTTCACCTGTATCTTTGTTTAACACATAATTTAAAATCTGCACATTTACCTCTGTTCCATCGCTTAATATTACACCTTCATCCATCAGGGCCGTCCGAAGGGGGGGGGGCAACCATCAGGGCAAGCTGCCCCGGGCGCCGTGGCTGGAGGGTGCGTCGCGCAGCAGCTATGTATTAATTAACATACTATTGAAATATGCGAATGCGACTATTACTGGGGGGGGGGGGAGAGTGCGCCAAAACCACGTTTGCTCCGGGCGCCGCCAGGGACGGCCCTGCTTCTTCTAAGAAGTGATTTCTTAACCATTTCAGATAGTGGGGCATGCCGGCAAACACCTATACAGTCTCCTCATTGGCTGCAGGGTTGACAAAAGAAGTGTTTTGAATAGAAATGTTCAATTCCTTCCATAACGTCCCACATCCGCCTAGGACAGAAACGATGGCACAAACTTTGTATCCAGCCTGGTTTGGCTATTCCCCGCGGTGGGAGGAAACCCCGTGCATGGAACGCTCACATACCGAGGAAATGAGAGGTATCGTTGACGTGGTGTGAATTTCAGTACTCTCAAAGTCTTTATCAGTTATTTATTTACAGACGGAAAACTCCATTTTCATAAACCTACAAGATGGCAAGACGTTACATTTAAACTTACATAATTATGAGTTATTGAGTTATTACAAGTTATTATAAGTATGATCCTATACAACTGTGGAAAGTGGCCCGGCTAATATGAACGAGGTTCCAACGTCAAGGTGGGTGGGCGGTGGGCTAAGTAGGCATCTTGGTACATGCACCTAGGAAGTACCCTGGAGACGATCGCCTCATGATCGCTTGCAGAATAATCCTTGGAACTGGCCTGTCAGTGAACTGGTTGGCTAGGACTTCGGATGCCAAAGAGATGTTAGGGGTCGTCTCTTCATACCTGGGCGACAAAAGGTGTTAACGTTACCTGTGTAAAAAATATGGAGTCATAGTCTGTATGAAATGGGCTATTTGAGCGTTAGATAGCAGAAGAAAAAGTTAATGCTCTGCTCCGCACCCACACGGAACCGTTGCCCGTGCCCAGGGCTACAGCCCGTGCCGGTTTTCTAGGAACAAATTATTATGGATCTATATAGGGACATTTCGCTCAGAGTTGGTGGCACTGGCAACCCGCAACACTGACTGAGCGGCACAGCACAGCTGCCTGCTGAGTGCTGGCTGCTGCTCACTCGCTCTGCTCACCCAGTCAAATATTCATTATCAAAATCATATGTAGTGATTGTAGTGGCTCTCCTGGTGGGATTGGCGGTAACGAATTGTCAGTATAGCAGAAAGGTTTTTATGGTACTCTAGTTTCTAGTCCTTTCATCTCTTCCTTCGTCCAAATTTGTGAAACGGAGTATTTCGAGCAGTGATAGGTTAAGTCTGTACAATTATACCTTCTTTTACATTTCAAAATAATACTATATTGACTTTTTAGTGTCTGATTTCACTAACTTACCTTTATTTTTGTGTTTCAATGACAATAAATATTCTTGATTCTTTAAGTTAATTCACTGGTTTCATCTGTCTAAGTGATCAACTTTGTAGTCACTACTTAATATAGGCCTACAACATTGTTTTTTATTCTAAAATGGCCAAGGAGGACGAAAATGAGGATGTATTACCAGACAAAGACGCAGCAAAAGAGTTTTATGCTAAATATGAACCAAAGGAGATCTTGGGTAGGTAAGTTACATCTTTTATGGTACATGCCACCCTTTATGTGCTAGTAACTTATAGGTTAAGTTAGTTTCTCACTGAATGATCTCCAACCTCATCTGGGATATCAAAATCCAAGCAGAATTCTCAAGTCCCACAAACTTTTTGAATTCCAAATAACGGGTAAACTTACAGTTTTTGAACTGGCCTACGCTAAGTTAATAAGATTGAAACTATCAATTGAAAATATTGAAGGTTAATCGATAGGCCTATTTTGGGTAGCCTACCGTTTCTGGGTACAGTTTCTTAACTGGGCTATGCTAATATTGATTAAAACTATCGATTCGATTAGTAATCCTTCATGCGATTTTTTCACCATCAGCAAGTTTGGTTGGTTAGGTTAGGTTATGATAGCTTTATTTTAGGTACCGTACCTACCTATAATAGATATATTTAAAAATATCGATTATTAATCAATATTTTCAATTCTATAGTTTCAATCAATATTAGCATAGCCCAGTTAAGAAACTGTGTAGTTTCAATCAATAATTTATTTATATAATAATTTATTTATATATAATTTATTTATATTGTTATTTATTTATGGTTTGGACTGTCCATCAAAAACATAATTTGTTATTTTTCTTACAAAATGTCACTGTCAAAACTAACAAAATACATACTTTTTAATGAATAAAGTATTACGTATTCCTATCAAAAATGTTGTATTGTATTAAAAGACTATGCAATAATCTTATTCCTTGTTTTGCTAATTTTTATAGCAAACAATTAATTATCTGGACAAAACAGTGATAATTTGTTACTGTTTTGTATTGTATACTAGGCTACTGTTTTTGATTGTTCTGTGCTCTGCTTGTGTGTTTTTTTTACTTGGTTCTTGAAGTTTCTGATCCAATTACTTGCCACATAATCTCATTCTTCTTGTCGTACCATCTTCGTATGTTCTGTTCTTACAGAGGAATCAGTTCAACTGTCAGAAGATGCATTGAAAAAGAGACTGGCGTTGAGTTTGCAGCTAAAATTATTGACTTGAGTGCTGATGGGGATAACAAGGCCGCAACTATGGAGGAAGTCCGGATATTAAGACTTGTAGCTGGGCATCCTTATATAAGTAAGTAACAGATTGGCAGTATATGATTTTATGGTTTTATTAAAACAACTAATGGTTATAAAAAAAAGTATCTTATGATTTGTTATGAATTTGGTTATGTTGACTCTTTGTTGGAAAGGTTACTACAGATTTTTGATGTTTTAGTCCAGCTACATGATGTGTTTGAATCAAGCACCTTTATCTTCCTAGTGTTCGAGTTGTGCAAAAATGGAGAATTATTTGACTACCTAACATCTGTTGTTACACTATCAGAAAAAAAGACAAGGTAATAAATTTGAGTGACATTTTGGGAAACCAAAGCATGCTATACTTCATGAATACTAACACATTTACTATTTGCTTGTTGATTTAAGAAAATTAACTTTTTAAAACCAATATGGACAACTTTTAGCATAATCTGAGTCAAATGTTTAAAGCAATCTCACTAGGTACATTTTACCGCCAATTTTCATTTATAAAAAAAAAGTAAATTTGTGTCCTATAAAATTTTTTTAACAAAGTATCCAGCCGAACTGAAAACCGAGAATAATATTTGAATTTTTTCAAATTCATTGGCAACGTTCCATTGGTTCAGTATCAACGTCGTAAGGAAATCATGATCACTGGAGATAATCACGGTATCGCGGAGACCACAAGAGGTTCACGAGAGTTTCCACAATTGCGGGTGACGACCTAGAAAAAACCTTAACTAGAACTAATAACTGGTTTTCTACGGTGTGTTAGGTTGGATTTCATCAACCACATTTTGCTTAAAGGACACTTCTTCAACTGATTGTTTTGATGTTATTGTTGTCATGGTATTATTTTACACATTTTTGTGACTTGATCTACAAATCGGTTAACAATTTATAGATTTGATCTAGAGTTTCGAACTAACTTTATAACACTTTGGGTGTTGAAAACCTTTAAACATGTGCAATTGGCATTCAAATATTTCAGTCTGACCAATCACAAAAGAGTAGTGGTGATTGTGCTGAGTTACCGCAAAAGTGGACGTAGTTCACTGAAACACCCAAAGGTAGCAGCACTGCCTGCATCAATAGCCAGGGTCTTTGTAATATGGCTCAAATAGAGAAAATCCTTGAAACCGGGACAAAAGCATTGCCAGACGGGATTTTACAGGAATTTTTTTTTACCAACCTACACCAAAATAAAGCTTGCATTCTAAGCTACAGCCTGGCAACGATTATACGTTCCCCGGCAATGGATGAGCTTATAATGAAATAATGTAGTGAGAGTGGCGCAACTACATCAATTGATGTAGCCACACTACCGCACTCAACGAGTTAATACAAAGCGATGATAGTATTACAAGTTTGTTGTTTCAACTTGCAGTAAAGGCTCTCTTCTACATTAGTATTTTTATAAATCTTTTTGATATTTTTCAAGGCAATTGTTAATCAACAGTTTAATAGTATATTTGCAATTAAAGAATGTGATTGTTAATGTGCATTTGAAAATAAACAGCTCTCACTGTTTTAGGTAAAAGGTTTTCCTATTTCGCAAACTCAATCAACATCATCTGTTGTAAACAACAAAAATAAAACTCTTAATTTTCTCTAACATCCGTATGATGTCTCTACAAATGTGTCTATGATTCACACTTTTTAAATACATTTAGCTTATCAGCCCGATAGTAAAACTAATAATCCTTTAAAAATATGGTAAATTAGCTGTCTGTTAGCTTAACCGAGTATTAAAAATTTTTTTAACAATGGGACTTGGCAGTCTGAAGATTAAACAATAATTCAGATTGGCGAGGTGTGCCTGTAGTGTTGTTAAACCAAGCAAAGAGGGCACGAGTTGACTAGCTAAAACTACTAACATATTAGACAAACAAATTAAAAGGATTAAATAAAGGGATTTATTCCAAATAGGTTAACTCAATAAAATAGCTAAGACTTTAACAATTTCAATGAAATTGAAAATGAAAATGTGTGTTTGATCAGACTAAAACAGTATCACTGAATAATGTGATCTTTCAACATAACTAGGTAATAGATTTCAAACCATTTTAGCAATTTTTTTATTGTAAAGCAGAACAAAATTCTCTCACAGAAAACTTAGAATACAGTATGTCATTGTCTCAAGGCATTTTTTTTATATTTCTTAGTGACCAAACTGTTTATGATTTTGGCGATGAAATTATTTTTATGTTATATTTTATCTTACAGGTACATAATGAGGCAGCTTCTGGAAGCTTTAAATCATGTTCACAGCCATGGAATTGTCCACCGAGACCTCAAACCTGAAAATATTTTATTAGATGACCAAATGAATGTTAAATTAACTGACTTTGGATTTGCTAGAGTCCTGAAGCAAGGAGAGTTATTACATGGTAATAAAACAGTTTAAAAAACTCAATCGTTCAGCTTATGCATCCAGAAAATAGAATAACTGTACGGTATAAGTGACTTACTTTGCTGACACCATAGGAACATAGAAATGCTTTGCAAGGTTTTTAGTAATTATTGTAAGCTACGGAAGGTAATTAGTGTGAGCAATGTTCTGCTGACAATCTAGTTTAAATGTTTGCTCTAGGTAGCCAACTGAATTGTCTATATTAAAAATATGCACTTATCACTCACTCAAAAAAATCCATTCTAAGAAGCTGTTAGAACTCTTACTCACTCCTATTCCTGTAGCAACACCCCAAGTACGGGGCCGGATTTAGCATTTTTGCGCCCCTAGGCCCAAATAATTTTCCGCCCCTTAGTCTGGTCACAGTTACTTTCCTTCAAACCTTTATTAAAAACTATATCATGCCCATAGGCCTAAGTTAATTGCTTGAATACCACTCCTCGTCGTAATCATTGAAAGTTTTTTTTTGTTGAAGAATTGCCTTGTTTAGCCTTAACAAAATGCCGTTTTAAACATTTTTTGCAATTTTATGCCTTTAATAAATGCTCACGTTTGTGGCCGTGGGACTGAAACAAAAAACTCAACCCACCGAGCATTCCTGCAAAAAAACATCGAATTGGTTCCAATTCCAGGCCCAAAAACATGAACTCCATTCAGCACGTGATAACATAGATTAAACATACTGCTTTAGTTGATTTGTCATCGTTTTGGATTAGCCTAGCTGAAAACAAATATTTTTATTTAAGGAGTATGTTTTATGTATGTTATTTGAACGTAGTTTATTCAAAATAAAACAATCCAATCAGTAACAATAGGTCGTCTCCTGTTTATATTACAAGAAATTAAAACACACATCATAGAACTAACCCTAAAATAACAAAAACAAAAATTCGTCAAAACTGACGTCCAGTGTCACCAAAATTAACTAGACATGAAAAAAAAATTGAATTAACAATGTCATAATAAGTCGACTTGAGTTATATCTTTGACTAATAATACAATAGTATTATAGACTTCTGTATCCAATAGTCAATGGTTATTTAATCTATGGTTGTACTGCATCTAGGTTATATTTCCAAAGCAAAACAGAATATTCCGGCCAACCATACCGATCCTTAGGTCTGAGCAGAAAATGACAGCATTTATGGTGCTTTGGAGGGTATTGATTTTTTCTAATATCTAATGCAAACTGAGATTAATATTTTTTTGTAAATTTTAAAGGTGAATTCATCGTTGTTTTAACATTGAACACAACGTAATATATTAAATTTAATATTGCTATTATACATTTTAACTTGATCCTGCAGATTGTTGTAAACTAATCAAAACATTACAGTAGTTTGTTTTGTGAGGTGAGGGTGGTAACAATGTCTAGCACGCATGCGCCCCTAATCACTGTGATCGGTAGTACCGAGTGGCAGTGCAGTGGCAATACGATGCGTACCCCTTGGGCCACAGAAAACATACTACTGGTAAAATGTTTTTTGTGCTTGGGCGCTCGTCAACGTCAACATCCCTACAGCTTACTCCCGTTTAACCAAGGTTCGTTACCAATTATGTAACGAAATGATGCGTTATTCTGAAAAATAGTTTAAATTTCCTAACAATTATTTCTTCTTATGAACTTCAGAATCACAACTCTATATTAAGCATATTTTTTTATCAACTATGACTCTTTATTTTTATTTTTAGATATATAAAAAAAATCCTCACAGCCGTGCGCCCTCTGGGACCTTGCGCCCATAGGCCCGGGCCTACCGGGCCTATTGGGAAATCCGGCCCTGCCCAAGTAACTTTAGTCCCTCCAACAATCACTGTTTTCCTTGATCAATTCAAGACCTGCCTCCGACTTCCTCACTTGGTTCCTCATCTTAATCAGAGTATCCTAAGACTTAGTGGCTGTTGTTCTATTGGATGTCCAATGCATATTTGTTTTATCATCTAGTCTAGTTCATTTCTCTTTCTCCCCTTTCCCTAGCCACCTTAATCTGCTTCTTATCATTATCACTGCAATATCTTAGTATTTGTAAAATTCTGGGAGCTCCTGATTCCTTATAGGCCACCCTCCAATATCATTAATTAGTGCAAACATACTGTTTAAAACAGATATAAATATCATTCAGCAAAACAAAACATAGATAATGGTATTGTTGAGTTGTTAAACAGATTTTTTCCTTTCAGATCTTTGTGGTACGCCAGGCTACCTCGCTCCAGAAGTTTTGAAGGCAAACATGTTCGAAAGTACTCCAGGCTATGGGCAACCTGTTGACATGTAAGATGTAATTTTTTCACAAATGTTGCTATAGAAGTAGCTATTATTATAACATTTATGGTTGGACCTAGTTAATTCCGAGTCCATATAGTTTTTAAGGTCCCCAGAAGCCAGAAACACGTTTTGTTAAAATTAAGGGTGTAACATAGAGCACAAGGGTCTAGGTTTTTAGGATTTTTTGGAGAGGATAGCAGCCTTCCCAGAATGGGAAAGAGTCCAAAATTGCACAGGAAACACAAAACTTTACACTATATACACAAAAAATTAGAATACCTATTTCACTGTCACTGACAGCATTTTCAACTAAGGAGGAGAGAGCTAATTCCTTAGTTGAAAATGCTGCCAGTGACAGTGAAATAGGTATTCTAATTTTTTGTGTATTAAAGTGTAAAGTTTTGTGTTTCCTGTGCCATTTTGGACTCTTTCCCATTCCAGGAAGGCTGCTATCCTCTCAAAAATCCTTTTTGTTAAAATTGTATGATATATATATATTGTTGGGGTATGTATGTGCTATAGGCATAACTCTCTGGAAAATTGTCTGCTTTTGATGAAGTTTGGGTCAAACGAGTAAACTAAAATCATAATTAAGATTGCAAACCAACCCAATCTGACAACAAGCAAGAGGCTTTATACTCTGGGCTAAGCTTTAATAAAATGTCCAAACTGTGAGTGTTGTCCTAAATTAAGGTCCCCATCAAGCTCCTGACACAGTCAAGCCCCGGAGACCAACGTCTTGTTTATTCCACAACTATTCTAGTGGATTTCTACCCCTAAGGGACGATTAGTCTTGTTTTAGTATTCAAAAACATTGTATAAGAATGTTGACACTCCTGCCAAGAATGGCCAAAATTAGGGAAAGATTGCATGGATCACAGTTTGACATAACGAGAGTGATTGTCATAAAATAAAGAACGTCTCTATAAGACTATGAAGGACAACGGCCAGCCCTGTATGTAGACACCAATTAGCAAGCACAATTCCTCAGATCGAATCACTGTCTATGGAAACTGATGAATACCCCCTGCCGGGCCTCGTTGAGCCAAGGTGTTCGGCCTTTCACAAACTCCCTATACCACTAATATACAGTTTCTGCATCGAAAAACTTGTCTACATACACATCTGTCAACTGGAAACCGTAATCAACAGGGCTTGATTCACTTCCCATAGAAACATAATTACAGAACAAGAATCATACTTAGCGGGATATACATATATGTGTGTGTGAGCGTGTTAACTCAAGCAAAAGTTATCCGATTTTGATGAAATTTTGTACAAACGTGTAAACCTACGTTTATTCAAACGAGTTCACAAACCAGCATGATCGGACTATGGGAAGGGGGTTTATGGGGAGTTTAATTCGGTAAAAATTGGTTTTCCCCATTTTTGACCCTATAAACATAAAATTTCACAATTTCTTTCCAACCAATTTTGTAGTCGTTATAAACAAAATAATTTTTTATATTGAAGGGTTGTTGTATGCCTAACAGCTACAGAGATAATTCAAAAATTGTAAATTTAAAATTCTCATGTTATTCTTATGGAGATTAATCACTGTTGTAGTTTGCTTGTTAACGGGTATATTTTAACCAAATTAGGCAATTTTGTTTATTTCATACTAAGCTATTAACATTTCAATGCTAAGGTATCAGCAAACCTAAGTAGGTACTCATTAAAATTAATGTTATTTAAATAGAAAACAAATCTGACAATTTTAATTGAAACTAAGCTAAATCACTTAGGGCTCTGCCCCAGAAGCCTTTAAAGATCCCTCCAAAGAGTTGTTTACATTTTGGCCATGCGAATAATACTTTTTAATAAAACAGCTGTTCCTTTTTAAATTGTATTTCAAACAACACATATTTATTGGGAGTTACTGAATTCTACCAAATAAGTATTTGCAATGTTATTTTCTGATTTTAAAATTGATTTTCCTCTTTATCATGTCATGTTTTGCAATATAACGTTCCATTACGAAATCAGTGGAAAATCCTTTTATCACAGCAATTCTTAAATTATTTCTTATTGAACTATCTTATATCTTTTGTACGGGTTGGTGTCTGCCTTTTTCACCACTTATGCCAAAATTTTATCATATTATTCTACACATATCAAATACTAGCTGTTGTACCCGTGCTTTGCAACGGGAAGAGGACATAAAATAGAAACATTTTAATCTTTACATCTGTTGCATATTTACACATCTGCCAACGCTTTTAGAAACAAAATTCAACTTTTATGGCCTTAACAGAAACGTTTAAGTTATGACTTTTAAATCTGGTAAGTAGTGAATACCACCATTTTGGTTTTGATTAATTTTTAATCTTGTAATATTTATAATTTGTGTGCTTGACCACTAGATAGCAGACAAGACATGTTTCTTGCTTGTAAGAGCTCTTTCCACGAGCACGGGCTTGTAGTCCATTATTTGGGAGGATAATTATTCTTAAGTCTATAAATGTATTTTTTGTATATATTTTTTATCTTGAATAAAGTGGTTTTATTCGACTGCTGGCGGTTGGTTCTCGTCGAAGTAGGGACAACCCTCAAAGTATAAAAATGTTTTTAAATCTTAGCTAAAACAGTTGATAAGACCCTTTTTAGCGTATTCCCCATATATTTTGTGCAACCTACTCGATAAGCTATTACCGCAGGTCTCATGGTAAGATCTAGACCCAGGAACGATTTACTTTTTTGTTTTAAGGTCCCCAGAGGCCAAAAACACTATCCGTTCAAATTCATATATATACGGGGTGTATATAAAGTCCCGCATGGACTCTGCTAGCTAAGCCCTTTAAAATGATGTGCATATTGACCTTTGCTCCTATTTAAGATTTCCTTCTGACTCCTTGCGGGACGTCCCCATGATATGATAGAAAATTCACAGTTCCTTGAAAAAGTAGATTTTTAGGTGTGTTGTAGATGTACCAAATCTTATTGATTTATCTGTTGTCGTTTAGAAAATATTAAGCCCGTGCGAGACTTTATATACACCCTGTATAATTGTCCGTTAGCGCAATAACTCAAGCAAAAATTATCCGATTTTGATGAAATTTGGTACAAACGTGTAAACCTACATTTATTTAATACTAAGCTATTGACATTGCAATAAAAAAAAAACACATCTCAATATCTTCCCTGTAGCAGCAAAATTAAGACCTCACTAAAATTAATGTTAATTGAATAGGAAATAATCTGAAAATTTTTATGGAATATTTTAGTAGAAATCCAGCCAGGTAAATGGAAATTCGCTTAGTCTGCAGGTTTGCTGCGGCGAGAGTATTTTGGTTGTTGGATTGGGTTGTTTGCAATCTCAATGAACTTCAACACAACTAGATTATTTTATTCAACTTTTTCTGAATTTATTGGTTACTGAGATTTTAAACACAATGTTTTGTTTCCCATGTTAAGCATAACTCCTTGAATTATCAATGGCAAAATATATAACAATTGTCATTAGTCATAAAGTGCTGTGTTATCTCCATAGTAATTTTAAAAATATACCTAATTTTATCATGATTTATTTTCCTTTCAGGTGGGCGTGTGGAGTTATCATGTATACTCTGTAAGTCTACTTTATTTCTCATTATGCTAGTTAACGATAATGAACCTTTGATTCATCATCTAATTTTTACCTTAAATGTAGTATATTATCAAATTTATAGGCCTACTATATTTACAAACTTACAGGGTGTCCACCGACCGGGAAATCTGGGAAAACCGGGAATTATGCGTGAAATTCATATTTTACCGGGAATTTTCAATTTGCCACGATCGCGCATGAAAATGACAACGACGATGACGTTTCCGTGACCGCGGGAGACGACGATGATGTCCAAACGGCCGTGGGATTTTGCCGCGATCCCGCATGACGATGATGACGTATCTGTGACCGCGGGAGCAGACGATGACGTTTCCGTTACCGTGGGTGACGACGATGACGTTTCCGTGACGGCGGGAGCAGACAATGACGTTTCAGTGACCGCGGGAAATGACGATGACGTTTCCGTTGTGGTTATGTTGACTACAGGTACACAGTAACTCAACTCACCTACTCATCTACTCAAGCAGCATATAAGGTGTGCAGTGGCATACAATTCTTCTGGTTATGTTGACTACAGCTACACAGCAACTCAACTCACCTACTAAGCTACTCAAGCAGCATATAAGGTGTGCATTGGCATACAACTGTTGTTGTTGTGTTGACAGTAACTCAAATCGCCTACAGCTACTCAAGCAGCGTATAAGGTGTGCAGTGGCATACAACTGTTGTGGTTGTGTTGACAGTAACTCAAATCGCCTACAGCTACTCAAGCAGCGTATAAGGTGTGCAGTGTTATACAACTGTTGTGGTTGTGTTTATTTATTTATTTTGTATACGGCAAACACCATTTTACATTTCACATTGCAATTATATACTATACAGATGGCCAAAAAAAGATGACGTAATAATACATGCGACCATTACAACTATCTGCTATACCTACACTCAATTAACAAAACAAAGTTGAGAAAATAAATATATGATAAATATCACAGCAAGTGGTAATAAAGACTAGTTAACATGCAGGAACAATAATACTATAAATATTAACAAAGTAGAGACTAAATATAAGTAAACCCAAAATTATGAAACACTACAAAATAAATACATAGTATGGCGGCAAAAACAGCAAATTTACAGAAGCGAACAATGTACAAAAGGCACGGTAAACTCTGAAGAAAAATAAAAAAAAAACTTAACAATAAAGGTAACAACAAGATAGACCATAAATATTAATAAATATTAAAAAGTAATGCACAGAAGTGAGGGGAGTCGACGGCCTAACACTACCACACACTCTTGAACCACACACAGAAACATGCACTCACTGGCTCGGAAGTGAGGGGAGTCGACGGCCCCAACACTACGTCATCGCCACACTCCTAACGAAAAGCTAATAAAAAAAAAATCAAACATGCACATGCTCCTCTGACGAGTAGAAGTTGGTTAGCTCCTTCCTAAGACGATTCTCGGAGAACTGAATCAGGTCGATGTAACTTGGCAGGCTGTTTCCCAGACGATGAAGGCGAGGCAGAGCACTGTGGTAAGAGTACAGTTTCGAACAATGAGCTCTCTCAAAGAGTCCTCTGGATCGAACCACCCGAGCACAACGAAAATCAACCCTGCTCAGCAAATCTGGTGAATCGACCGAGGCTGTGATGATCTTCCTTAAGAGCATCAGATCAAAGATTTTGCGTCTCGAACTCAGAGGAAGAAGTCCAAACCGACGTTCCATCTCATCCAGTGGTACTTCAAGGTAGCGAAAGCCCAGACTCACTCCAAGTACTCGGAGAAATTTTCTCTGTACACCCTCGAGAAGATCAACATGGCATATCAGGTATGGTGACCAAACTGGCAAGCAGTACTCCAACAAAGGGCGGACCGGCTGCACATACAAAGTCCTTAGGGCATGAGGTGAAAACCCATCTCGAGACATTCGGACAACAAATCCCAGAGCAGAATAAGCCTTCTTACTTATGTTTCTTAAGTGTGGTTCTGGACTTAGATTCGAGGAAACAGTTACTCCGAGATTTCATTTCATTTCATATAACTTTATTCATTAAAGTACAATACATAGATACAGGAATGGCGTCAAGAGTAATTTAATAAAACTAACTAACTAAAATACTCATCATTATCATGCATGGCATAACAACATACCATCAATATTAATAGCTATTCAAATCAAATAAATTAAAACAAGCAGTGCAATATGACAGTTTATACATGAAAATATCAAAATTAAAAATATAGATAAAATTATTTTAAAACAAAACCAAAAGTTTCAATTGATATGAAACAGAGCAATTAATAACTTGAAGAACTAAAACTCTTCAAAGGAGTACATAGCCTTGTTGATAAGAAACTTTTACAATTTTGATTTAAATTTATTTTTGGAAGTTTCTAATTTGATTTCTTTAGGAAGTTTATTATAAAATTTGGAACCGGCATATTTAGGTGTCTTCGTAAAAAGTTGCAGAGTATGTGAGCTTGTGGCCAGGTTTTCTCGATTTCTAGTGAAGTAATTGTGATAGTCTCCAATAAGTTGTAATTCATTAAATCTGTCTTTTACTGATAATACTGTTTCATAGACATACATTCCATAAACAGTCATAATATTCTCAGTTTTAAAATATTCTTTGACTGAAGTTCTGTGTTTTAAATTGCACAAAATTCTAATAGCTTTCTTTTGCTTTTTTAGAATTGATTTTAATTTTTTCTTTTTTGCTGCACCATAAAGTGAAACTCCAAATGATATGATTGAATGTATGTACGAAAAATATATAATTTTTAAAGTTTCCTTTTCACATAGGGGTTTTAATCTTGTTAGCGCATAAAGGCCAGATGAAATTTTAGAAAGTAACTGATCAATATGATGATTCCACTTCAAATTTTCATCAATTTCTAATCCCAAGAATTTAATGTGGTCTTTATTTTGAATTATGTTGTTATTAACTACAATTTTTGGCAGATTTTGCGGTTTAGTTTTTCCTGCTTGGAAACACATAAAATTAGTTTTATCTGTGTTCAAACGCAAATTATTCGAATTAAAAAAACTGTTAAGTAATAATATATCAGAATTGGCCTTGGCTTCAAGTTCAGCATAGGTTCCTGCGGCTATTTTTAAATTTGCATCATCAGCATATAGGCAAAGCTTGCTAAAATCACTGAGTTGAGGAAAATTTCTCAAATAAAAGATGAATAAAAGAGGGCCTAGGATCGATCCTTGGGGCACCCCATATTTTACTTCCCGAGTACAAGAATTGTAAGACATTTTATATTTTTTGTTATTACAGTGACTCAGTTCTACGTATTGTTTCCTATCAAAAAGATATGACTTGAACCAGTTCAAAGTAGTACTATTTAGTCCACTACTACTGAGCTTTGAAAGCAACAACTCATGAGAAATTGAATCAAAAGCTTTACTGAAGACCATGAACAACCCTACCACTTTAGATTTACTCTCTAAGCTATCGGATTCAATGAAAGCTGTGGCAGCTGTTATGACAGATCTGCCACTTCGGAATCCATGTTGGCAGTCATCAAATGTACCATTATTTTCAAAGAAGCATACCAGTTGGTTATAAACAACCTTTTCATAGATTTTTGAAATTGAAGGCAGCAAAGCAATAGTCATTGAATAGTCATTTATTCAGTCTTTAAACAATACATTATTGTAATTGACATCGTCATTATTATTGTAAAAAGATATAAGATGCAATACTTATAATTAATAAAATTTGACATGAAAATTCCAAAATATAGGCTGCCCTTAGTTTAACATTTAACAGGTTTAAAATATTTATTTTTTTAAATAGGCAAACTTAACAAACTTAAATTAGGCTAAGAATAATAGTGAATAATAGTGGATCTTTCTTAAAAAGGCTAATGGTTATCACAGGTCTAACAATGAACATAGAGGGACAACATTTCTAACATTAGGCTATCACAGATGGAATATGGTAAAAAACATATCAAAATAGTGAACATGAAATATATGAAAATTAATTACAGTAATAAAAATCCTAGCCTAACTTAAAAACAAAATTTCTAACATTATCACAGATGGAATATGGTAAAAAAACATATCAAAATAGTGAACATGAAATATATGAAAATTAATTACAGTAATAAAAATCCTAGCCTAACTTAAAAACATTTAACATTAGCAAAAAATGAGATCACATTCAAAAAATTCCTCAATTTTGTAAAATGGGTGAGATGAAAGCCACATAGTTAATTTTCTTTTAAAGACACTTAACGGCAAGGACTTGACTTGGGGATGAAGCTTATTAAATAATTAATACCTAAAACAAAATGACTGTTTGCAGTTTTCTGTAGCCTACAGTGAGGTACATCAACTAGACCCCTATTCCTTGTGTTATAACCATGAATGTCTTGGCGCAAATCATACTCTTTTTCCTTTTTCTTAACATTAATCAGACAATGCAGGATAAAAACATTAATGACAGTTAATATACCAGTGCCCACAAATAACGGTTTACAATGTGCTCTTCGGCGAGATCTAGTTATGATTCTCACAGCCTTCTTTTGAATTAACAATACATTATTTACATGGGTACTATTTCCCCATAACAAAACACCATAACTTAAAATTGAGTGAAAAAAAGCATAATACACAGACTTTAAATAATTCTGAGGCAGACTAGAGCTAAGACATTTAAGAAGATAAATAAACCTAGACAACTTACCACTAATGAAATCAATGTGTTGAGACCAGGTCAAACAGTTGTCAATCACTAAACCTAAAATTTTTATGTCATTTGGTTCATTGTAATCCTCGACTCTATTTCTAGTCTGGCAGAGTAAGTGTTGAGTTTTATTCTCATTAATAATCAAACCATTAGCACTAAACCATTGCTTGGCTTCTAAAATAGTATTTTTGGCAATATTAGACAAGACATTTTTATCATTGCTTATAGTAAGAAAGGTTGTGTCGTCTGCAAACATTGTAGTTGAAGAAAGGGACACATTGGCAGGTAGGTCATTAATTGATAAAA